CTCTCTCTCTCTCTCTCCCTCCCTCATAGCTATGCTCACTCGGCCGCTCTCTCCCCCTCTCTCTCTACCCAGTGACCACCACGGATCCTTTTGACTCCCAACGAAATCATGTGATTGTCTTAAATAGGCCGCATCTCATCTTGGCAATGGCAGACTCCTGTAAAAATCGCACAGAGACCGAATATGTTTCTCTTGGGAGCCCGACGAGGGAGCTCTGCGCACAATACTCTGTGTGAGTGTTTTCTGGTGTAGGGGGGCTTACCCTAAGCAGGCTACAGCCTGTAGCCAATCACATTTGGCACCTGCTTTGAGAGATGTTCTACTTCTCAGCTTACATGGTCGCTATGATATTTAACAAACACACAAAAAAATGGTTTTCTTTATGTCCCCTATCAGGTCAGGTTTGAATATATGAATCCAGTCATGTGGATCTAGTGGTCCAAACGCGATTCAGAGATTACACCCCGGAGCAGGTAATCAGTAATTTGTGATGGTTTACAGTCTGAAATTTAACCACTGACCCCGTTTAATCCGCTTGCCGTTCTCCCATCTCTCCAATATTCCACAGCTGCACTGATAGGCAGCGTGCCAACATTTCTGAACTCCCTGCAGTCATTCATAGAAGTGCTCAGGAGTGTGGGAGCCAACGCATCGGGAGCACTTGTTTCATATTCTGAAGTATTTTATCATCCTAAAAGAAAAAACAGATGAGATCTCTGCTGTACGGCAGGGGAAATAAATGTGTGGTGTTTACAGAGTGATCTTTGTGGCACCGAGTCAAAAAACATCTGAATCAGAGTGAAAGTCATTAAAAAGTGATCTTCAAGCCAGAGGGTTTATAGAGTCCACAGAGGATGAAATGTATTTTTGCATATGGTTTCTAATTTCTACAAAGCAGAAAGATCAGACGGTGGCATATTTTGATGACTTTATATTTAGAAGCATTTAACTACATATAGCATGGGTTTTCGTAACAGAAACACTGGCATCTAAAAGCTCATATAGATTTGATGTTCAGGTGCAGAGCACACTAGATAGAAAGTTTACTTTGGTAAATTGGTAGGAAGAGAAGAACAGAAGCTAACCCAATAGTGAACTCAGCTCTCTATGACACCAGGTCTTGTGGATTTGTTTCCCTCTGGAATGCAAAGTGTTTGATGAATCTTCCAGATGGCCTGTGTCATGTTGCATTAGTGATAGCTGTCATGTATGACAGATTAATTTGTTCTGAACGTCAGAACGTTAATCAGTGAATTAGAAATCAGTGACCAACAACTAACTTTCTCCTGAACCATAGTCCCCTACAGATAGGAAGCAGGATAAGCAAATGCAAGAACATTTTCATTCTGAGAGTAATATGTTCTAAGCCTATAAAACCGATACATATACAGTACCCACTTCCAGATTTCTGCCTCTGTTTGCCAATCCTGGGTTTAATCAGTGATAAAATGCCGTCATGAATACAATTCTTACCATATGTTTGGAGGTTCAGGAAATCTGTGCTTTACAACAGCAGCTGACACTGCAAGCACCCCTCCTCGTCCTCCTCCTCCACCTTCTACATTATTACACAGACCCCTTGCTCAGACACATGTGTGCACTCGCAGCAATCCAATACTCACTCTGCATCTGTGTGTCTGGCATCATGTGAATGTATGGAAAATGTGCTGCTCTTATACATCTGTGTGAGCAAATGATTCATATTTGTTCAGCAAGTGCAGATCTTCACAGCTGACTGGAAAGTTGCCACACCTTTGGCCCCCGAAGGCGTCTGACAGCCTTTTGTTGGGATGTACGGCAGGATGCTTCACTGTGGGATGCGCAGGTGGGCAGATCAAACTGGCAGACTGAGAAATAATTGTTTGTTGTTTGTATTGTTTGAAGGAACTGAAAAAAGAAAGCTCCTGTACATACACCAAGTGCTGTGAGTGTTTTGACCCCCGAACCTGTGAGCTCCTGTAGGCCTCTCAGTCTGCCTGCACGTCTGAGTGCTTGTTCTTCGGTCTTCCTGTCTCAATCAGCTTGGCTTAAAGCCCTACTGTCTGTCTTCAATAACATCTGTGGATGTACAAAGGCAGAGAACTGACACATAAAGGGAACTCACTCCAGCACATAGTCTAAAATATACAGTGCAGTGAAAAACAAGAACATCAATCATGGTTATTGTTGGAAATTAACATTTTGCACATTATTGAAGTAAAGAAAAACAGGTTAATCACAGGTTAAATGTAAGAATACTTTCACATACATACAATGCCTTCAAATCCACGATTTAATCCAGATTAAATGCCAGTGATTAAAGCTTCAGTCTAGCAGTAGGTGGCTTAGAACCCACAAGAAGTCTCCAGACTCCCCCACCCCAAATTTCATTACAGGATTTTTAAGAATCTTACAAGTGTTAGCATCAAAGTGCTTGCATGTACAGTTAGAAAAAGATTTTAAAAATTTGACCCGTGTGCGAAGTTTGCCAGGAAAAAGTCTTTGCTGTCCAAAAGAGAAAATTAGAGGAAATCTAAAGTTTGCCTGTAGCAAAAACCCGGCCATTTGGAATACCTTGGCCTTCGACAGATGATCTAAATTGTGATCAAAGTTGTTCAGTGAGACCAAAGGCAACCTTTTTATGTCGTGCTTACGTCGTGACACATAATTTTAGTATCTGAGGTCTAGTCACACTTGTTTACCTGTGTAAGTGCATCTAGATACAAAGAGGAAAAATATTTGAATTGCAAGATGGACAAACTTTCTCCAAAGTTTTCTGAGGCTGAATACAGAAGAAAGTCAAATTGCAGAAAGATGCTGATTAAACAACAGCCGCATTCCAGATGCACAGCTTGTTTTAGACTTCTTTGAAGGTTATATGTGAACAAGGGACACCGAAAGAGCCCGAAAAGAAGACATTAACTGCTTAAAATATGTACGAAAATTAATTTTTAACAATCCCAAAGAGCATCTTTACTGCTTCAGCAACACAGAATGAATAGAATTTCCAGAAGATGTCTGAGACCACTGAGCATCAGCCGTCAGTTCCTCTCATTTGTTTGTCTACTTCCTACTTGGAAAAAATATCACTGGCAGACAATCATGCCAGGTAGGATTAGCACATCATCAAAAGTAAACCAAAAACACCCCAAAATAACTAAACACCTACTCTTCTCCTAAGGATCGATCATTTCAACAGCTAAAGCAGATAGCAGCTGCCTATAATTAGCTGTCATCAAGGTCTGCGTGCGTGTCTGGTGAGAGCAGACTACGCTTGTGGTAAGCATATGTGATTTTGTGTGCATGCTCTCGTGTGATTTATGTGCATATGTGTCTTTGTACGTTAGTGTGAGTCTGTTCACGCATGTATGGATGTACTTATGTGTTTGGGTCTTGTGTGTTTGCGTGCACAATAAGCTGACAGCAGCTGTAGAATTCCTCTCAGCGCATCACAGAGGGGTAGACTGATGGCAACTGACACGGAGCATGAGTAAAGGGAGGTGGGAAACGGAGATGAAGGTGGAGCGGAGCAATGGGAGACGGTGGTTGCCAGGCAGTGTAGATGATTGAAGGGTTAGTCAGAATTTGCAAAAACTCTGCACCGCTGTCGAAGAATACCGACGTCTTTACTGCTATTGTCCTGACATTGTCTAGTACAATCCAAACACCTTGGATGCATCACCTCAGTGTGAAACACTGTTTCCCCTAAATATTTGCAGATGGATACTACAGCCTGTTTTTGGTTTTGGATTCACTGCTGAACCTCACCAATCTTCTTTTTGTATATTTTAAAAGCAAAAATAGTTCTTTTTTTTAAACTACACCTTTTATAAGAAGTGAGAATAATATACACTGCTTAAAAACATAAAGCAACACTACAAAACCCATCAGATTTCACCTAGAAAAACAGTCATTCTCAATATCAATGCATGAAATTCAACAAGTTAATTTATTGTTGTTGAGATGACGTGATACAATCTAGCATGAGTGGTTAGTTGCTTCGACTCACAAAACAAGATCACACAAGACTTCAACTGACAGGAAAATCACTGGGGTCATAAAAGCATACACACACCACATGTATGCTATTGCTATTTGTTGTGGTTTAACCCATCAAGGGCAAAAATACAAAGAAAATTCTGTATCGAGCCTGGTAATCATAGGTTTGCTACTTTTTTTGTTCTGGACTAACAGCTCGGCAGCACAGTCCTGAGTTTGACTCCCCCGTCAGGCTGGGGGCTTTCTGTGTGTTCTTCCATGTGCTTGCGTGGGTTCTTTCTGGGTACCCTAGCTTCCTCCCAAAGACATGCAGTTAGAGGGCTAAGGTAAATTGGTGATTCTAAATTACACATGAGTGTAAATGTGAGTGCAAAAGGTTGTCTAAATGCTGACTAGCCCCTAGAGGTCTGGTGTCCCTCTATGGATATGCCTCTTCAGACCATCACTGATTCACCAATGTTGGTGGTAGATCAGTGAATGATGTTACAGGCAACATAACGTTCTCCACAGCTTCTCCAGACCCTTTCCTGTCTGTCACTCGGGGTGAACGTACCATCATCTGTGAAAAACACAGGGCGCCCATGGTGGGCCTGCCAATTCTGGAAAATGCCACCCGGGCTCCACGGTGCCGGGCAGTGAGCACTTGGCTCACTAGAGGATGCCGACTCCTCAGGCCACCCTTATGAAGTCTCTTTCTGATTGCTTGGTCAGAGACACTCACACCAGTGGCCTGCTGGAGGTTATTTTGTAGATCTGGCAGTGTTTTTCCTGTTCCTGCTTGCACAAAGGAGCAGATGCTGGTACTGCTGATGGATTAAGGAACTTCTATGGCCCTGTCTAGCTCTCCTAGAGTAACTGCCACCTCTCTGATTCTCCTCCATGCTTAAGAGAGACCAAACACAGCAAACCTTCCGGCAATGGCACGTATTGATGTACTGTCCTGGAAGAGTTGGAGTACCT